CAGACATACCTCAGTTTATTGCACTACTGTGCTTCACAGGTACTAAGTTTTTTGCAAATTGAAAATTCAAGACTTAAGTGGAGGAAATAACTGCAGATATGGTGGAAATAGCAAGAGAACTAGAATTAGAAGTGGAGCCTGCAGATGTGACTGAAAATTGCTGCAATCTCATGATAAAACTGGAACAGATGAGGAGTTGCATCTTAATGGATGAGCAAAGAAAACGTTTTCTTGAGATGGAATCTATTCCTGGTGAAGATGCTGTGAAGATTGTTGAAATGACAGCAAAGGATTTAGAAAATTACATAAACTTAGTTGATGAAGCTGCTGAGGGGTTTGAGCGGATTGACTCCAATTTTGAAAGAAGTTCTGTGGGTAAAGTGCTTTCACAGCACCTCATGCTACAGAGAAATTGCTTGTAAAAGGAAGCGTTGATCAGTGTGCCAAAATTCATTGTTGTCTTAATTTTTTAAATTGCCACCACCACCCCCGCCTTCAGAACCATCACCCTGATCAGGCAGCAGCCCCCACATCAAGGCAAGACCCTCCACCAACAAAAAGATTATGACTTGCTGGATGCTCAGATGATGGTTAGAATTTTTTAGCATTTAGTATTTTTTAATTAAGGTATCTAAATTTTTTTAGACATAAGCTATTGCACACTTAATAGACTACAGTATAGTGTACACATAACTTATATGTCCTGGAGTTCAAAAAATTCAATTGACTCAATTTATTGTGATACTTCATTGTGGTGGTCTGGAGCCAAACCTGTTAATATCTCCAAGGTATGCCTGTAAATCACAGTAATTCAGGTCTTTATAGAAAAATCAGTGAAAACTATTGGTTTCAAGTGAAACAAAACCAACCCAAATTGACAAGTACAAAAGGAAAAGTGTTGATAATAAAACTAAAAGTCCAGGGTTGGTTCTAGCCACAGGTCTAGCTGAATTCAGGGGTTCAAATAATGCCACCCACCTCCATCTCCTGGAAGTTCTGCTTCTGCCTTAACTTTATTCTCAGGCAGATTCTTCCCACACAGTGGCAAGTTAGGCAGCATTAGCCAGAAGTTTACATTCTGCCAGTTTAATCTCAAGCAAGAGCCTTTCTCCTGATTTCATTGGACCATTGTGATTCACATACACATCTGCTGACCAATCACTGTGCCTTGGAGAAGAAATACATTACCTGGTCAGCTCTGGGTTTTGTGCCCACGTCTGGAGGGCAGGGGAGTGGAACCCCAAAGGAAACTCAACGTTCTGTTGCAGAAAGAAGCTAAAATGGAAGCTGGACAAACAAAAACAAGAGAGGCCCCTTAGAGATGAAGAGCCAGTAGTAGTATTAGAACTGATGAATGACAAGATCAGAATTTTGCTTTCAGATAAGTAATCTGGAAGTAGAGCCCAGGATGGATTTAGGGCTGGGAAATCTGGGGTTAGAAGACCAGTTAGAAACCTACAGCTATCATCTCGGTAAAAGATATGACAACAGGAATGGAAAAGAAAGGACTAGCTAAGAAATTATTACAGATATAAAGTGATTGTTATGGATCACTCACATCAAGATATAGGGAAAGGGTATTAGATGAGAAGAAAGTTGTCCAGTTATTAAGTATATGGGAGAATGCCCCTCTCAGAAGCTTAATATCCAGTCTATCAGATGGAGTTGTGAGATTTCCTACCCGTTTATTATTTTGTTCTTTCCCCTCCCAGGTAAACTACCAGTATTAAAAATTACAGTCACCCCTCAGATCTCTTCAGACACCTTCAGATCTATTTGGAAAAGCAGCCAGAAATCCAGTATTACCCGTAAGAAGAGGTATGCTTTGGACATTTGTGTCCGTGAGTTGCAGACACCAGGGGGCACTGTACAGAGCCTGGGCACTCAGCAGGATAGATGGTGCCGTCAGCCGTGGATTTTGTCCTGTTACCTAGAACCATTGGTTCTAGGTAATAGTTCCCTAAACCATAGTTCCATTATGATGGATGTTGATTGTACCAAAATACAAGTATTAGGGTAACAACATAGTTCCTCAAAAATTAGCACAAACCCTGCCTCTTCTAACTCCCCCACCTCCTACCTCAGTCCTGTTTCTTGGCTTACTGTGGATCTGATATGGTGAATTCAGCTAACTAAACGCTTCATGAGGCGTGTACTACTCCTTCGGGGGTAATGGATTACATATGTTTACTCTCTATTGTGTGAAGTTGAACTTCCTTTTCTCTTTTTTAAATTTATGATTTCCTGTTTATTATTTTATAGGCTAAAAACTGAATATGGATGCCATATTTCCTTACGGAAGCTGTCTACTTCCATTGCTAACCAGATATACCTAGAAAGATACTGCTTGTTCTAATAATTTTTTTTCACTGTAAAAAAGCCCCTTTCAAGTTCTAAAGTTTGATAAGACTACTTTATGAAAGTTTAAAGTAGTATTAATCCTATCATGCTTGTCATTTTCTAAATGTGGATTTCACAAATAGGTCTTAGTAAAAATAAATGAGATTCTTCTCTGGGGCTTTTCTTGTGCATGTGAAATATATGATTTTAAGGTCAAAATAGTCATCTAAGAAAGAAAGATTCTTCTTTCATAAAAAATATTTGTAGTCAGAAACAATAGAAATGTTTAGAAATAATCACCACTTTCTAAAAGACAACATTCCAGAAAATGGGGATCTTCCCAGATGAAAAAATTTCTAATCCCCCCTCCACCAAGATGTCACAGTTCCATGGGAAATAGAAAAGGTGTGGTTGATCTATGTATGTCTATGCATGGATGATAAATTGTATTTGTTACATTTTATATGCCATGACAATGTGGGAGTGGGGATGAAAAAAAGCATGGACTGGGGAGTTATTTGAATCAGAATTCTCTGTGGAAACCTGCTGCTTTCTAGGTGTATGACTTTGGGTAAGTCAGTTAAACTCATTGTGTCTCAGTTTCCCCTGGTAAGAAAAGCACTTATTTCATTTGGTGAGCATTGAATGAGATGCCTGCCACATGTCAAACACTTTAGGGCAATACTTATTTCATAGTACATGTTCAAAAATAAATATTACTGGCTGTTTTCATTGCTGTTATTGTTGATACTAGAATTGAGTGATACGGTTATTTCACTTAGAACAGCTACACAAGAAAAAATAGAAAAAAAAAAAGAAGGCTTGAGGGCCTCCCATCTCCCCCAAGTTGAAAATTCACCATTTTCAAGAGGCTTTTCCTTACTGCGTCAATCCTCAG